TTGGACCCAGCGTAATAACCTAGCAGCTAAGATCCTTACCTTGCATGCGCTGGGATCCCAAGTGGGCAACAGTTCTAATCCCCACAGTTCCACTTCCCATCCAGCTCCTTGCTTGCGGCTTAGGAAAGCAGTCGAGGACAGTTGAAAGCCTTGGCACCCTGCACCAGCATGGGAGACCTGCAGAAGGCTCCTGGCTCCTGGCTTTAGCTCGGCTCAGCTCCGACCATTGCAGCCACCTGGGGAGTGAATCAACGGATGGAGGATCTTCCTTTCTGTCTCTGCTCCTCCCTGTATATCAGACTTTCCAACAAAAATAAAATAAACCTTTAAAAAAAGGATGCTGGCTTAACTTTGCCTTTGTTAACCTGAGTTCCCTAGATTCTTCAGAAAGCTCTGATCTGGAATGTAATCCCCCAGAAAGGTGGAGGTCGAATGCCTGCTCTCCACTGGTTCCCAGCCTCTGTCCCTGCAGATGAGGGTGTGGGCTGAATGAGCAGCACCCAGACCCCTGCATTTCGCACACCAAGGAAATGAGGCTATGGAATGCAAGCTTACACAGGGAGACAAGCTTTTTCGTTGGATCCCATCTGGGCACTAAATGCAAACCCTCTTACTGTCTGTGTTTTTATAACACAAAACCATCCCTGCACCACACAAACTACCCAGGACATTATCCACACATAAATTTGACTTGAAGGAAAACTTCATTATATTATTCTTGTTTGGTATGTTATAGTTGCATGCCAGCAGCATGGCCACTGTTTCCCCATGCCCTCTGCTCAGGGTTTCACAAGGCCAACATGGCAGCATCAGCCAGGTGGGGCTCTTACCTGGGGGCTTGAGTGGGGAAGAGTGGCTGGGCTTCCAAGTTATTGGCAGAATACACTTTCTTGTGTGATTTCACTGGGCCTACCTGGATCATTGTAGTCAGCTGAAGAAGACCCTCAAGTGCACCTGTGGGCTCTCTTGTGTCAGTGCAGCCTTGCCTTTCACGGCCCTGACACCTAAGCCTGCATTCTCCTCTGACATCCCAGTCTGATGGGATGACTTCACCAGCTCCAACCAGTGGCCCCTCTTCTTCAGATTTTTTGGGGGCTAATGAATCCTGGAGTTGTTTGTTTATGAAAATCAAGGCCATCATTGTGAACACAGAATCTTGCAAGGTATTTGGGAAATGTTTGCTGAGCAAACAGATATTAATAAGTTCATGGCTGCTAATAATATTTTTATGCAACTTTGATGATAAAGCTTGTGGTATGCTATTATCATGGACATTAGCTACAGATTAGAAACCAAGCCCAAATTATTACAGAAATATATGAAAATCAGGAAGGAGTTGGTAAATCACGGGATTGTTGGGGGAGCTGTTAGCACACAAACAGGTCACTGATTTTCGGTAACGAGACTGCTTCCCTCCAAGGCACCTGTGAGTAATAGAAGACTCCAGAAGTCATGGACTTAACCTGCATTTTCTCCCTTCCTTTCTTCCTCCTTCCTCAGTTCCTTTTTGGGACTTTTTCTCTCTTGGGAAAAAAATTCACTTAATGAATTTTAAAATTGAAGTTTTTAAAGGTGTGATTTTTTTCATGGTCCAGACACTGCTGTACAGAGAAGGGGAACCAGGGGGGAAGGGTGTCAGTGGGCTCTGCAGAGACTCAGCACTTCTTCACGAATCCTTTACCAGTCAGGCCTGAGCTCTGGGGAGACTACAGCGATGAGCAAGTGACAACATCCTGGTCCTTGTGGGGCTTGTGTCCCAGCTGAGGAAGCCGGTCAGTGTGCAGGCCGACAATAATGGGGCGATTTCAGATCATTCTAGGAATGTGAGTGGTATGTGAGGACATTAAATGGGGTGACAAAGGCTCAGGAGACCTGAGGCATGAGCAGGAGTGGCCAGTGGTGAGCATCACAGATATAGTGCTTCTGGCAATGAAAGTGGCAAGTGACAAAGCCCTGGGGCAAGGAGGTGGAGGCTGGCAAAGCTATATTTTGGTGAGCCAGAGAGAGACTGGAGGGAAAGTAGGCCAGAGTGGGAGGCAGAGCTTCTACGAGGCTATGGAATGTTAAGAAAAATCATTACAAATTTGCGAAATTGTAAAGATGAGATTCTGTGACCACTGAATCTAACACTTAGAATGTTTTCTTTTTTTTTTAATATTTATTTGAAATGTAGACACACACACACCACACGCATGGAAATCTCTCATCTACTGTTTCACTTTGCAAATGCTTACACTAACCAAAACTGGGACAGAGAACCAGAAACTCAATCCAGGTCTCCTACATGGGTGGCAGGGACCCCGCTACTTGAGCCATTACCTGCTGCCTCCTAGGATGTATGTCAGTGGAAAGCTAGTATCAGGAGTGGAGTCAGGACTCCAACTAGGGAACCTGGACATTAACATGGGTGTCCCAAGTGCCATCTACACTGATGCACCAAAGGCTTGCCTCCTTTATTAAAAATAAGGGAGGATGACATTGTGATGTAGCTTGCTAAGACTCCACCTGCAGCTGCCAGCATCACATAGAGTTGCTAGTTTGAGTTCTGGCTGTTCTACTTCCAATCCATCAGTGAAGGATGGCACAAGTATTTGGGACCCTTGAGCCCACCAGGGGGACCCTGATGAAGCTTTGGACTCCTGGCATCAGCCTGGCCCAGCCCAAGCCCCTGTGACCATTTGGGGAATGAACCAGTAGATGGAAGGTTTTCCGTCTATGTGTACATATATTCTTCTCCTCTTTATGTAACTCTGCCTTTCAACAAAATTTTAAATGGTGATTAGTTTATTTGAAAGGCAAAGGAGAGAGGAACATTTTCCAACAGCCATGGCAAAGGGTCAGCTAACGAGGAACAAAGAGCTTGGCCCGGCTGATGAAGGGCCAAGCATCACACTTGTCTCTGACACCGGGCAGGTGTGCTGGGTTTCCGTGATTTCCTTTTCTGTCCCCAAAGTTTGTAGTTTTGTTTCCCTGTAGGACTTCAGCCAGCATGTAATTGAGTCATCTCATCTTATTCCTTAGACGTTTCTTTCATTAGCTGTAAACAGCTCCGTTTCTCAGTTTCTCTCTCCTAAACCACCTTGTCCCGCATGGATCCCTATATTAATACACTCCGTCAAACTTGGACATGTGCCCACTCGCAACATTCAAGAGAATTCTGCTTTTAACCTTTGGAGAATTGTATTCTGATAGGAATCTGGGCTGAAGTGGACAGCAAGTGGGAACATGAGCAAGACTAATTTATGTTTTTACAGAGGTTTAGCTGGGTCCAAGCGGAAAGCCAGACCCTCTCTGAGGAGCAAGTGCCCCAGGGGCAGAGTGGGGGTAGCAAGCCCCTGCTGCGCCCCTGCACTCTTCCATGTGTATAGCCAGGTTCTGCTTCATCGCTGCTCTTCCTCACTCGGCTGCGAGCTCCTTGGCAGGTGCTGAGTCTGACCTTGACATTTTCTCTGTATCCAGCAAGGGCTGAGCTACACAAAGGCTGAACGAAGCCCTTCCATAGATGATGATGATGGTGGTGGTGGTTCTTCCTCTTTGTTATTGTTATTATTGTTACGGTAAAATTATTGCTTTGGTAAAAGGTACATAGCAGACATCTTCTGTTTTTGCCACTTTTGAATGTCTAGTTCACTGGTCTATCTCCAGAACATTCCATCTCTCCAGACTGACACTCTAAAACCTGGTAGCAAAGGCTTCCCATGCCCACCTTTCCCAGCCACCTGGCCGCCCCTATTCTTTCTGCCTCTGTGTCACTATAATTGAAACTTCAAAAAGTTCATGGCAAGTGATATTAAAAGTTAAATGTATTCTGGTACCCCCATTTCCAAAGTCCACACATAAATTTTTTACAGTATTTTCTTTACCTTTTATAAACCTCTTCTTTTAAAGATTTATTTATTTTTATTGTAAAGTTAGATATATACAGAAAGAAGGTGAGACAGAGAAATATCTTTCGTCCAACAATTCACTCCTCAAGTGGCCACAATGGTCAGAGCTGTGCTGATTTGAAGCCAGGAGCCAGGAGCCTCCTCTGGGACTTCCACATGGTTGTAGGGTCCCAAGGCTTTGGGCTGTCCTTGACTGCTTTCCCAAGCTATAGGCAGGGAGCTGGATGGGAAGCAGGGCTGCCAGGATTAGAACTTGGTACCCATATGGAATCCCGGCATGTTCAAGGTGAGGACTTTAGCCTCTAGGCCACCATGCTGGGCCCCTGAAAATCTCTTTTGTGCATGGATTTCAAATTTTCCTGTGAAGTTTTAGAAGTGCTCTTATATTTGTCCATTTGTGTGGTCGTTTCACTTTGGATCCAGTCTTTAAGGTGCATCAATGCTGTAGTGTGTGCCTAGATTTCCTGTTCAGATTCAAGTAATATTCTATCCTTTGGCTGTACCACACTTTGTCTATCCAATCATATGTTGATATGTGGTTGTGTTGGTCTGCCTTTTGGTTGTTGTGATAAACACCATGACGGACGTGATGTGCAAATATCTCCTTATTTTGGATGTAGACCTAGAAGTCAAGCAGCTGGGTCAGATGGCAGTTCTGGGTGTCACCTGTTGAGGACTGCCACACCATCTCCCATAGAAAAGGGCCGTCTTGCATTCCCCTTAGTTGGGGGTGGGGTTCTAGAAGCCACATGCCCAGTGCTTTTTCTCTGTATGTCTAGTAACAATCATCCTACTGAGCATGGATCTGACGCCTTGTTTTAAAATTTAAATGATGTAGGAAAGGTCAGTGTGGGGCATCTGGGAGCCTTCCCTGGTGTGCTCTGATGGGGGAGGCCTGAGGGAGGGGAGAGCTGGGGTGGGAGGTGCCGAGGGGTGCTGAGCCCACCCTCCCCTCAGTGCAGAGCAGAGGGCCAGGACCGCTGTAGGAAGAGAATGGACACACAGCTGGTTTCCCGGGCAGGGAGATTGTTGCTGGAAATCTGGGATTGGGGGAGGGCATCACTCCTGGCAAAGCTGGTGCTCACCTGCCCCCACCTCTCTGTTGTTTCCCAGTGTGACAATGCCAAAGGCTTGAAAGCCTTCTACGACGCAATAAAATATGGACCCAACCACCTGATGGTGTTTGGAGGCGTCTGTCCATCCGTCACGTCCATCATTGCGGAGTCTCTCCAAGGCTGGAATCTGGTACAGGTAAGGCCCAGTGCTGTTTGGAGCACTCATATGCATTTAACCTTCATTGTACCTGTTTGATGCTATAAGTGCCCTCACAATGCCCATTATACAGCTAAGAAAACTAAGGCTCAGACAGACTAAGTAACTTACCCGAACACACAGCCCATACCTAAGAGAGCCAAGATTTAAAATCACATCCTGATCCTTAAGGTAGGAAAACTGAGTTATGAGAGAAATGAACAAGATGATGGGACAGGGTGAATGCCTTGGGCAATCATGAAAGGCCTCTTGGAGGAGGTGACATTCATTGATTGAAGAGCCTTCCATGTTGGTGGATAAGGCAGCAAATGCAAACAAGCCTGGGAAAGAAGCTGGCATGCCAGGGAACAGCAAGCAGGGTAGTGGTGCTGGTACACCATGGGCTGGCAAGCAGGAGCCAGGCCAGGTTACAGCAACTATTTCCACTCCACTTAGCTGCAGGTGGTGCTGGGAACCGCGGTCAAATGTACAGCCTAGAGGGCTACTGGGCACCAGCCAGGCCAGAGGTGTGGGGTCATCCATTGGGCCCCAGGGTGGGGAGGGTGCTACAGAGCTGACTGCTGCAGGCACAGAGGGCACTGGGCAGCTGAAGGTGTGGAGGGAAAAAGCCTGGGTGGGAAGTGTGTGGGAAAGGGGAGTGGATCAGGTCTCTGGAGGAGAGTAGGTGCCATAGGACAGAGGCCAGAAGGGCTGCTCTGGCCACAAAAAATAGGAATTCACTTGTCAAGGTATAAAAATTTGCTGTAGTGCTAAAACGGTTTCAATGCAGTGTGTTGATTCAGGGTTGCTGCTTGGAAAGGCCAGTGTTGTTTTTGTGCTAAGGAGATTCCCTAAGCCACAGAGGGCTTCCATTCCTGCATGGAGACACAAGCCCATCCTGGGGTTCCCAGTTGGACAGGCAGGAGGAAGCCCCTGTCTGGGGTGCCAGGCTCAGACTGGAGAGAGGTTGCCCCAGATCCCTCCCTCAGAGCAGAACTGACCAGACCTCTCAGCAGGACTTGGGGAGGGGGACGTGTACCCACTTTGTGGCCAAGGGATGCAGGAAGCAAGACAAGGCTCCGGGTGCAGGTAGGGGTTGGGGGGAACAGGTTTCTCTAGGTGACCTTAATGTGATGTCAGTCATCATCATGGTCCTCAATGGCATGCTTCCCCATTGCACCAGGAAATTGACCACTTCTCCTGGCAGCCATGCCTCCTGCAGTGTAGGCATCAACCAGAGAGGGAGGGGTTGGGAATATGCTCATGGGAACAAGGCAAATTCCAGGGCACCCCTCTGAGCAGCTCCAAGGTAGGGGACCCCCCTCTAGTTCCTGGAGGACTGTAGACCCTCCCCAACCTCCATTGTTCCCACCCCCAGTTCAGTTTCAGCAGCTCAGGTGACAGATCTGCCAGGACAGGTGGCCCCAAGACCAGATTACCTCCCAGACACCTGGGCTCTTCAATACCTGCTGCAGGTCCCCAGAACATGTGGGAAGAAGGGCGCAGAGAGGCTGGCAGGGGCCCTCGGCGGGCCTGTGTGCACCAGGATCAGCAGGATGCAGCCCAGCTCTAGAGTATGGCCATTGCCCTTGCTCGTGCTCCGTCATGCTGCTGGCCTCTGTACGAGCTGTCCCCTGCCTCCACAGCCTCTCCACTGGATGGTATGGTGCTCCTCTTCATGGCAGTGCTTGCATACCCCTTCCTCCAGGAAGCCCCCTGTTTCTTTCCCTGGACACCTTTACCTGCAAGCTGTCCCACCCTAGTCTGGGACTCCCTGAAGTCAAAACACCCCCTTCCCCCTCACAGAGCAGTCGTGAGTACACCAGGATAGTTAACTGTGGGCAAGGCTGCCTGCTGCCCCTCATCACCAAACCTTCCAGAGCTAAGAGGATTAGCCCGTTGTCATAGACATGCAAAGACCACCTATTTCTTTTCTTTGGACCCACTGCTTGTTTTGCAAGGCTTTCAGGCTCCTGTGAGAAGCTTGACTTCTGAACTTTGAAGGCACCTGCCTGGTTTCTGACTTTACCTACCCACCCCACGACTTTTGAGGGAGCAGGCCTGCAGACTTAACTCCTGGAAGCCCAGGCTAAAAGCAGGAGAATTTGGAACAGAGTGGTGAAGACAGAGTAAGGGAGCTGGGGCTCAGGGTGGCAGAGGCCAGATGAGGTGGCAGAAGTGTGGGCAATGGGGAGCTGGACATGGCTCAGGAAGCAACATAGAACTCCTTCCTTCTCAGGAGTGCAGGACTGCCTCTGGAAATAAGGCCAGATTCCTGCAGGGCTGAAGTGAAGATGCAAACAGCACCAAATCCCACAGAGCCTGGCCTTCAGACGACACCCACAGCAGGTTATTAGCTTGTAGATGCCCTGGCGCGCCAGCCCCCTCACAGCCCACCCTGGCTGGGCCTCCCTGAGAAGTTTCGGTTTGCATGGTGAGACTGTCTCCATGGAGCTGCTTTGGGGAGGAAACAGGCCAGTAGAGATGAGGAGAGGCGCTGGCTGTGCATTAATGCAACCGGAACTTGAGGTCTGATGCTTTCTAACTATGCTTGCTTTGACATTTCAGAAACAAAAAACAAAAACAAGTGACAACCCTCTTTCCCCCTGCATGGACCCTCTGCTATTTACCTAACGGTTGCTTCTCATGAACCTGTCTGTGAATGTCATTTTGCTTTCTCAGAAATTTGGTCATCTGGCTTGGTTTTCTTGCCTGGGTATTTTATTAAGCTTTGGGCTACCTGGGAGATCTCCAGCCTGCCCCCAGCGATATGTGAGGTGTGAGCTGCAGACTTGGGGGCAGTTCCATAGAAAGGCAGAGATGCTTGGATTTAGTAACCAAGAGATCTAGTGTGTCCATTGGCAAGCATCATTGTGCAGAAGCCCAGGTTTCACCATCATAGTCCTCTGGTGCTTGTCTGTTCCTCCCTTAACCTCACTTTTCTTTTATGCAAGTGAGAATAGAATAGAAAACCTACTTTTTACATGGTGCAGAGGAAGTGAGAATCAATGAGGGCATTTCTGGTTTAGCCAGAGAAAACACTTTATCAACTCTAGCAGCAGCTGCAGTCACCAGGCCTGGGACTTCCCAGGGAGCAGACCTTCGCTGGAAGCCACTGGCATTGAAAACCCAGTCTCCATGACTGCTTCCTCTTTGCATGAACAACAAGCATCACTGCAGACCCTGGAATGATGGGGCTCTCAGGTGGGATGATCAAAGGACACTTAACCTCAGCCCCTCAGCCCCTCAGCCCCTCAACCCTTTGGTCCCCAGAAACCCGACTGGACAGGCTAGAGTCTTGCACAGCCCAGCCCACATGGTTGACATGCCCTTGCCATGGAGTGTGCAGTGCAGTGGGCACATTACATTAGAAGTCCTTAAGAGTGGAGGAGTGATTAGGTTCCGCTGGAAACTTGGTTGCTGCTACTGCTGCTGCTCTCTAAGAAAGAGAATAGAAGCCAATGAGTGACTCAGGGCGGGCAGAAGCCATGGCTTGGCGCTGGTCTCCAGAGAGGCCATTTAGTGCATTAATAATCTATGAGCTACTTCCACCTTCTGGATCTGTTACAAATCAGAAAAGGGAGGAGGAGGAGAAGTGAGATGAAGGACATGCGCTGTGGACCATGCAGAAAGGTAGGAGGCACTCGAGGGCCCAGGAACTTTCTGCCGTGCTGTGGGATGGCAGGTGCAGGAAAGCCCACATGGGAGAGCAGGAAGAGCATCCTCTGTGGAGAAAAGGAAAGTTCCTGGGCATCTCTTCATTTGGCACAGCTTGGAGGAGGTTGGAGGAGGCCTCAGAAGGGTTTTCTTGGCAAACGAGTCTTGGAGTTGGCTCAAGGAAGCATTGGTAGTGGCCATAGCAACAGAGTTTGTGGGACCCAGAGTGGTGAGGCGACAGGCAAGCTGCCTGCTATCGCCACAGGGGTGGTGAAGGGAGCATGAGAGAGCTCCCAGAGTCCAGTAAGGCAGCACCAGCTGGCATCTTACCAGACACACCCCACCTCCTCCACACACACACACATGCATTTGCCTTGAATCTTTAGCTCCAGCCCCCCAGAATTCCTTGAGGCTACCCAGCTGTCCTGTGTTCTTCCAAGCCTCAGCCTTCCTCCAAGAGGTACCCTCCTGCCCACTCCCTCCCCCTTGAAAGCCGTATCCAGCCTGAAAGAGCTGTACATAGGCTTGTTTCTGCAGTTTCTTCCTGGTTTAGCCCTCCATGGCTCTGCACAGGCCTGGGCACTCACTGTCTGTGGCAATCCAAAATCCTGCTTTCTCAGCAGAAGGAGTAGACCCAGGTGGTTCCCACATCCAACCTGGCTTGCATGGATCCTGGCTGCAGCTGCTGGTCTTTGGAGAAAAGGGTTCTTTCTTTATTCATTCATTCAATCACTGACTTATGCTCAAATTCATTCATTCGTCCTCTCACTCAACAAGTGCAGCACCTGTCATATGCTCTCCAAACTCCCCCAAACCAGTGCAAAGCCATCATCCAACCCTGACAGCCCAAGGGACAGAGGCATGGGAAAGAGACCGCTGGGTGCCATAGCCAGGACAGATGGCTGGGATTCCACAGCTCTGAGTAATTGTCCCTCTGATGTCCCTCATGAACAGAGAGGATTAGGGCAAATCAGCATCCTCCTCAGAGCCTCAATGAACTCATCTGAGTAATGGGGCAAAAATTGGGTCTATCTCTCTGCTAGAATGTCAGATACAGTGGGAGAGGTGGAGCCAGTGGAGACTCTACCCACAGACCAAGAGGCGCCGTTGTCATCCCTGAGGCTTTGACCAGCAGAGGCTCCAGCCTGGCCTTGGCTGGGGGATACCTTGAAGATTCGTAGGTTCCCTCATATGTCTTCAGACTCAAAGCTGTGGGAATGAAATGATCTCTCACAGGTCATGGAGGTGAATCAGAACAGCCAGAACCTTAAAAAAAAAAAAAAAAACACAGAGCCTGTAAGAGCAGCATGGTGAGGCCCAGGGCAGGTCCTGGTGGGGTTTCT